GAACTTGGTGGCAGGTAGTGCGCTCCAGGACGGGGGTGTTCACCAGTTCACCCCTGCCTACGAGCGCGTGACACACTGCACGTGTGCTCGGACGGGTCGCCACCTGGCTACCTTCACTCGGGAGCCGGGGTCGGACCTTTACACACTGACCACTGTGTCCCCTCAGGTAGCTGCGTCTGCGTCTGCGTCAGGTCAGCTGTCCGCCCCCTGCTCGTGTCGCTCTCTGGCACATGAGACTGTCCTTTGGCACCACCGCCTTGGTCACCCGTCTGTGCAGCGCCTTCGGGCCATGCACCAGCGGGACCTTGTTGCTGGTCTTCCCAGGGTGCTCCCTCCCCTTCCCGACTCGCCTGCTCCTCCCTGTATTCCCTGTGTCGAGGGACGGCAGCGCGCCGCTCCTCACTCCTCCTCCTTTCCCCCGACGACTGCCCCCTTGCAGACGCTTCACATGGACGTGTGGGGCCCAGCCCGCGTCCGTGGTCAGGGTCAGGAGAGGTACTTCCTGATTGTTGTTGACGACTTCTCGCGCTACACCACGGTCTTCCCCTTGCGCGCCAAGGGTGACGTCCCTGATGTCTTGATCCCTTGGATCCGCAGATCTCGTCTCCAGCTCCGTGAGCGTTTCCGCTCCGACTTCCTTGTCCTGCGTCTGCACTCTGACAGAGGTGGGGAGTTCTCCTCTGGCCTATTGGAGGCCTTCTGTCAGCAGGAGGGCATTGAGCAGTCGTACACGCTTCCGGACTCTCCACAGCAGAATGGGGTTGCTGAGCGCCGCATTGGTCTGGTCATGGAGGTCGCTCGTACCTCCTTGAGCCATGCGGCTGCCCCCCATTTTCTGTGGCCGTTTGCAGTCCGATACGCTGCGCATCAGCTCAACCTCTGGCCCCGTGTCTCCTTGCCCGAGACTTCTCCGACACTGCGCTGGACGGGAGAGGCTGGCGATGCGTCGCGTTTTCGGGTCTGGGGATCCCGAGCTTTTGTCCGCGACACGTCCGCGGACAAGCTCTCCCGTCGCGCTGTCCCCTGCGTCTTCCTTGGCTTTGTCCCGGACGCCCCTGGTTGGCAGTTCTACCACCCCACCTCGCGGCGTGTCCTGGCCTCTCAGGACGTCACTTTTGACGAGTCCGTCCCCTACTACCGCCTCTTCCCCTACCGCACTGCCCCGCTCCCCCCCCCGCCTCTCTTCCTCGCTCCAGGTGCTGAGGTACCAGACCCCCTCCCCCCTCAGGGTGCCGCTCCCTCAGGTGTGTCCCAGGTAGACCCGGGTGAGCCTGTCGAGGTGGCTGTTGACTCTCGTCCTGCTAGGGGTGCTGAGCCTGGGGGTGCTGCGTCTGGGGGTGCTGAGCCTGGGGGTGCTGCGTCTGGGGGTGCTGAGCCTGGGAGTGCTGAGTCTGGGGGTGCGGAGCCTGGAGGTGCTGAGCCTGGGGGTGCTGAGTCTGGGGGTGTTGAGTCTGGGGGTGCTGAGCCTGAGCTTGCTACACCTGGAGGAGCCCTCTCCTCCCAGCAGCTGCAGGAGAGGTACCTCGAGTACTGCCGCCTCCGGAGAGGTGCTGCTGGAGCTCGTCCCGGTACTTCCCCTCCTACCCAGGAGCTCCCCCCCATTCAGCAGATCCGCGAGTGGTACACACGGCGCTGCAGTCTTCGGAGTGGTGCTCCTGGTGCTGCGGACCCTGGGGGTGGCGCTGCTGCTGGTGCTGAGGACCCGGACGTTGGAGCTGCTGCTGGTGCTGCGGACCCGCCTGGTGGAGCTGCTGCTGGTGCTGAGGACTCGGACGTTGGAGCTGCTGCTGGAGCTGAGGACCCGAGCGGTGGCGCTGCTGCTGCTGCTGAGGACCCGGGCGTTGGAGCTACTACTGGTGCTGAGGACCCGCCTGGTGGAGCTGCTGCTGGTGCTGAGGACTCGGACGTTGGAGCTGCTGCTGGAGCTGAGGACCCGAGCGGTGGCGCTGCTGCTGCTGCTGAGGACCCGGGCGTTGGAGCTACTACTGGTGCTGAGGACCCGGACGCTGGAGCTCCTACTGGTCCTGAGGACCCGGCCGCTGGAGTCTCCTCTGCTTCTGGAGACGCTGCGCGGCCGCGACCGTACTTCGTACCACTCCTTCAGCAGGTTCTTGGGCAGGCTCCTCCTCCTTGTCCTCCTCCCTCCGTAGAGTGTCCTCCGCCTGTCCAGCCGCAGTCACAGTTACCGCCTACCTCGCCTCTCCCTGCTCCCTCTCCTTACACTGGTCCCACAGGAGGTCTTACAGAGCGTCGTGAGCCTGAGTCTCGTCCTGCGTCGCCTGTTCGTCCTGCTCGCACTGGTAGTCGTGTCCGTCGTGAGCGTCCTCCTCCTGTCCCAGGCACTCACTACATGACTCTGCGTCCCTCTACTGCTCCTCAGCGTGTCCCTCTACCGTCACCTCCTGCGTCCTCTTTGCCTGACGTTCCGGACCCTGAGTCTGACCGGTATCGTGCTGAGCACCCTACTGTCACGCGTCTCCTCGCTACTGTTGTCACTGACCCTACCTTTGAGTCCTCGGCTGCGTCTGCTCTGGTCGCTGAGTTGGTTGACTTTGCTGCTGCCTGTCGTCTAGACTACGCTGCTAGCCTTGTTGCTGAGTCTGCGTCTGAGTCTGTCTGTCCTCCGTCCGTCGGGGGTGAGTGTGCTCTTGGCACGGACGTCCTTGAGGACAGACAGGAGGAGTTCCAGTGTCTTGCTGCTGCTTTGCCCCGTCTCGTGTCCTTGCTAGTTGCCCTTGAGGGAGACCCGGATGCACCAGACATCCCGACCCCACGCACTTACGCTGAGGCGATGGCGGGTCCCTACTCCTCTCAGTGGCAGACAGCCATGGATGCAGAGATGGCTTCCTGGAAGTCCACACGCACCTACGTCGACGAGGTTCCCCCTCCTGGGGCGAACATCGTCAGTGGCATGTGGATTTTCAGGGTGAAGCGGCCGCCGGGTTCTCCGCCTGTCTTCAAGGCGCGTTACGTGGCTCGAGGCTTCAGTCAGCGAGAGGGAGTTGACTTCTTCCAGACCTTCTCCCCCACCCCGAAGATGACTACTCTTCGGGTGCTGCTGCACATAGCCGCTCACCGCGACTACGAGCTTCACTCACTTGACTTCAGCACTGCTTTCTTGCAGGGCAGCCTGCACGAGGAGATCTGGCTGCGCCGCCCACCTGGCTTCACTGGGTCGTTTCCTCCTGGTACCCAGTGGAGGCTTCAGCGGCCGGTCTACGGTCTCCGCCAGGCTCCGCGTGAGTGGCACAACACACTGAGGACTACACTTGCGGCTCTTGGGTTCGCGCCTTCTACAGCTGACCCGTCGCTGTTCCTGCGCACCGACACTTCGCTGCCGCCGTTCTACATCCTCGTGTACGTCGACGACTTGGTCTTTGCCACTGCTGACACTGCAGGACTCGCCTACGTGAAGTCGGAGCTGCAGAGGAGACACACGTGCACAGACCTGGGTGAGCTGACAAGCTATCTTGGCTTGCGGATCACCCGGGACAGAGCACGGCGCACCATCACCTTGACTCAGTCACACATGGTGCAGCAGGTTCTCCAGCGCTTTGGCTTCACGTACTCCTCGCCTCAGTCCACTCCTCTGCCTACCGGTCACTCGCTCTCAGCTCTGCCTCCTCTGCCCTCTTAGCATCCTTGCACGCTATGTCGCTCCTGGCCGTCACAGGAAGGAGCACATGGATGCCGCTAAGAGGGTGTTGCGCTACTTGTGCAGTACGTCGGGCATGGGGCTTGTGCTTGGAGGGCGAGACCGAGTTGTTCTCACAGGGCACTCAGACGCTTCTTGGGCAGACGACCAGGCCACTCAGCGGTCGTCTCAGGGTTACACCTTCAGCCTTGGCTCTGGCTCAGTTTCTTGGCGCTCTACACGCTCTTCTTCTGTTCTCGGCTCCAGTTGCGAGGCTGAGATCTACGCTACAGCCATGGCTGCCCAGGAGCTACGCTGGCTGACCTACCTGCTGACTGACCTCGGAGAGCCGCCTCGTTCTCCTCCAGTACTGTACGTCGACAACAAGGCTGCCATTGCCTTGTGTGAGGAGCACAGACTGGAGCACAGAACGAAGCACATCGCCCTGCGGTACTTCCTTGCTCGAGAGCTGCAGTAGCGCGGTCAGCTTTGTATTCGCTACGTGGCCACTGAGGCCAACACTGCTGATGTGTTCACCAAGGCGCTTCAGCCTCGTGACCATCAGCGCTTCTGCACTCTACTAGGCCTTGTGCCTACTGGACCTCACTTGCTTACCTCTTGACTTTGCTTGTACTGTGATCACTATATATATCTATACCTGCATGTTTACTCTTGCTAGGTTGTGATCACTGTATCTCTGGCTCTGTTATAAACCTGCATGTGAACTGGTCTTGTGACCACTAGCTTGTGCTCGGAATTTGTGTGGAATCCTCGAGATCCACCCTGAGCTTGTTGTTGCCTTGCTTTGCCTTGACTGGTCTTGTGACCCCTAGGTCTCCCCCACTTTGCCTATGGGGGTGTGTCAAACATTATATATGTTGGGTTTGTTAGGCTACAGTGGGTTAGCCTATATGGGGTACACAATTCTAGGGTTTGCTATTTGTACTGATTTCTCTGTTAGTTCAATCATTCCAGTCCGTTGATTCTGACACGCCGCTCCTCACTCCTCCTCGTTTCCCCCGACGACTGCTCCCCTGCAGACTCTCCACATGGACGTGTGGGGCCCAGCCCGCGTCTGTGGACAGGGCCGCGAGCGATACTTTCTGCTGGCTGTTGACGAATACCCGCGTTACACCACTGTCTTCCCCTTACGTAGCAAGGGGGAGGTCCTTGATGTCTTGATCCCTTGGATCCGAGCTGTCCGTCTCCAGCACCGTGAGCGGTTCCGCACGGACCTTCCTGTCCTGCGTCTGCACTCTGACAGGGGTGGTGAGTTCTCCTCCGACCTCTTGCGGGACTTTTGTCGTTCACGCTTCCGGCCTCCCCACAGCATAATGGGGTTGCTGAGCGCCGCATTAGCTTAGTCATGGAGGTGGCTCATACCTCCATGATCCATGCGGTTGCTCCCCATTTTCTGAAGTCGTTTGCGGTCCGGTACGCTGCGCATCAGCTCAACCTCTGGCCCCGTGTCTCCTTACCGGAGACCTCGCCTACACTGCGTTGGACGGGGGAGGTTGGCGATGCGTCGGTGTTCCGGGTCTGGGGCTCTCGTGCCTTTGTCCGTGATACCACCGCGGACAAGCTCTCCTCTCGCGCCATTCCCTACGTCTTCCTTGGCTTTCCCCCTGACGCGCCTGGCTAGCAGTTTTACCACCCCACCTCGCGCCGTGTTCTGTCCTCTCAGGACGTCACGTTTGACGAGTCGGTACCCTTTTACCGTCTCTTCCCCTACCGCACTGCCCCTCTCCCCCCCCCCGCCGCTCTTCCTCGCTCCAGGTCCCCCTTTGGTAGACCCACTCTCCCCTCAGGGTCCTGCTCCTTCAGGTGTGTCTCAGGTAGACCCACTTCCCTTGGCTGAGCCTGTCGAGGTCACTGGTGACTCTGGTGCTGCTGGGGGTGGTGCTGCTAGGGGTGCTGAGCCTGGGGGTGTTGAGCCTGGCCGTGTGGAGCCTGGGGGTGCTGAGCCTGGGGGTGCGGAGCCTGGGGGTGCTGAGCCTGAGCGTGTGGAGCCTGGGGGTGCTGAGCCTGCGCGTGTGGAGCCTCGGGGTGCTGAGTCTGGGGGTGCTGAGCCTAGGGGTGCGGAGGTTGAGGGTGCTGAGCCTGGGGGTGTGGAGCCTAGGGGTGCTGCGTCTGCTCGAGGTTCTCCGGGTGCCTCGCCGCAGCGGTCTAGCCGGCGGGAGCCTCTCGCATCACCGCAATTGCGCGAGTGGTTTGCTCGGCGCGCCCGCCTTCGGAGTCGAGCTGCTGGAGCTGGAGACACTGCCGCTGGAGGCGCTGGAGCTGGAGGTCCTGGAGCTGCTGGTACTAGAGTTTCTGAGACACTGGAGCTGGAGGTACTGGAGGTACTGGTCCTGGTGGTACTGATGCTGGAGGTTCCACGGGTGCCTCGCCGCACCGGTCTGGCCGGCGCGGGCCTCTCTCACCACCGCAGCCGCTCGAGTGGTTTGCTCGGCGCACCCGCCTTCGGAGTAGCGTTGCTGGGGCTGGAGGCGCTGGGGCTGGAGACGCTGGGGCTGGAGCCGCTGGGGCTGGAGGCACTGCCGCTGGAGACGCTGGAGCTGGATGCGCTGGAGCTAGAGGCGCTGCCGCTGGAGGTACTGCCGCTGGAGACGCTAGAGCTGGAGGTGATGGACTTGGAGGTGCTGGCGCTGGGGGTGCTGGTGCAACTCGAGCTGGGGGTGCTGGTGCTGCTGGAGCTGGAGGTACTGGAGGCGCTTGAGGTGCTGGTGATGCTGGTACTAGAGGTGCTAGCGTTGGGGGTACTAGTGCTGCTGGAGCTGGAGGTACTGGAGGCGCTCGAGGTGCTGGTGTTTCTGATACTAGAGGTGCTGTGCAGTAGAGACTATTTTTCTTGCCGCCACCACAGCTGTCACTGCTACCGCCTACCTCGGTGCTCCGTCAGGTTCTTAGTCTTACTTTGTCCACTGCCCTTCCTCCAGACTCACCGCTGCCTGCCCCCCCTCGTTACACTGAGCAGCCAGCCTCCCTTACAAAGCGTCGAGAGCCTGCGTCTCGTCCTTCCTCCCCTGTTCGCCGTGCTCGTCGTGTTCCCCGTCCTCGTCCTCCACCTGTCCCCAGCACGCATACCATGGCACTACGTCCTTCTTTTGTTGCATAGCGTGTCCACTTGCCGTCTCCCCCGGTGTCCTCACTTCCTGAGGTTCCGGACCCTGAGTCTGAATTGGTTCGTGCTGCTCACCCTACAGTCACGCATCTCTTGGCCACTGTTGTCACTGACCCTTCTTTTGAGTCCACTGCTGCGTCTGCCTTAGTTGCTGAGCTTGTTGACTTTGCTGCTGCGTGTCATCTAGACTACGCCGCTAGTCTTGTTGCTGAGTCTGAGTCTGTCTGTCCTCCATCCGTCGGGGGTGAGTTTGCTCTTGGCACGGACGTCCTTGAGGACAGGCAGGAGGACTTTGAGTGTCTTGCAGCTGCTGTACCTCATCTCGTGGCCTGGCTGCTTGCACCTGAGGGAGACCCGGATGCACTGGACATCCCGACCCCGCGCTCTTACGCAGAGGCGATTATGGGTCCCTTCTCCTCTCAGTGGCAGACAGCCATGGACGCAGAGATGGCATCCTGGAAGTCCACACGCACTTACATTGACGCAGTTCCCCCTCCTTGGGCCAACATAGTCGACGGCATGTGGATTTTCAGGGTGAAGTGGCCGCCGGGTTCTCCGCCTGTCTTCAAGGCTCGTTTCATTGCACGAGAATTTAGTCAGTGACAGGGAGTTGACTTCTTCCAGACCTTCTCCCCTACCCCGAAGATGACCACTCTTTGGGTGTTGCTGCACATTGCCGCTCAGCGTGACTACGAGCTTCACTCTCTTGACTTCAGCACAGCTTTCTTACAAGGCAGCCTGCACAAGGAGATCTGCTGCGTCGTCCTCGTGGCTTCACTAGGTCGTTTCCTGAGGGTACCCAGTGGAGCCTCCGACGGCCAGTCTACGGTCTCCGCCAAACGCCTCGTGAGCGGCACGACACAGTGAAGACGACACTTGCAGCTCTTGGGTTTGCTCCTTCCACTGCTGACCCGTCGCTGTTTTTGCGCACCGACACTTCGTTGCCGCCGTTCTACATCCTCTTGTACGTCGACGACTTGGTCTTTGCCACTGGTGACACTGAGGGACTCGCCCTTGTGAAGTCGGAGCTGCAGAAGAGACACACCTGCACTGACCTGGGTGAGCTGCGCAGTTACCTTGGCTTGCAGATCACCCGGGACAGAGCACGGCGCACCATCACCCTGACTCAGTCACACATGGTGCAGCAGGTCCTTTAGCGCTTCGGCTTCCAGTTCTCCTCACCACAGTCCACTCCTCTGCCTACTGGTCACTCGCTCTCAGCTCCACCTTTGGACGAGTCCGTAGAGTCGAGTGGCGTGTATCCAGAGCTTGTAGGCTGCCTCATGTACCTGATGACCTACACTCGTCCTGACCTTGCGTACCCTCTTAGCATCCTGGCACGCTACGTTGCGCCCGGGAGACACCGACCAGAGCACTGGGAGGCCGCTAAGAGGGTGTTGCGCTACTTGTGCAGTACATCTGGCATGGGGCTCGTGCTTGGAGGACGGGGTGACGTTGTCCTCACTGGACACTCAGACGCTTCGTGGGTTGACGACCTGGCTACGCAGCGGTCGTCACAGGGTTACACCTTCAGCCTTGGCTCCGGCTCTGTTTCTTGGCGGTCTACTCGCTCGTCTTCTATTCTCAGCTCCAGTTGTGAGGCTGAGATCTACGCAGGAGCCATGGCTGCACAGGAGTTGCGTTGGCTCACCTACCTGCTGACCGACTTGGGAGAGCGGCCTCGTTCCCCTCCAGTTCTGTACATAGACAATAAAGGCCGAGATTGCCTTGTGTGAGGAGCATAGACTGGAGCACAGAACGAAGCACATTGCTCTGCGTTACTTCCTTGCTCGAGAGCTGCAGCAGCGTGGTCAGCTTCGTCTTGCTTACGTGGCCACTCGGGCCAACACTGCTGATATATTCACCAAGGCACTTCCGCCTGGTGATCATCAGCGTTTCTGTACTGCTCTAGGCCTTGTGCCTGCTTTGTCTCACTTGCTCACTGCGTGACCTTGCTTGTACTGTGATCTATATATATACCTGCATGCTTACACTTGCTAGGTTGTGATCACTGTACTGTTTGTTCTCTTTTATATAACTCTGCATGTGAACTGGCCTTGTGGCCACTTGCTTGTGCTCGGACTGTGTGGTGACTTCGTGATCCACCCTGAGCTTGCTTTGCTTTTCTTGACTGGTCTTGTGACCACTTGTTCTCCCCCACTTTGCCTATGGGGGTGTGTCAAAACATATACAGCTTGTGTTGTGTAGGCTATAGTGGGGTAGCCCATAAGGGGTACAACCCAACTTAGGGTTAGTACTTCTACTCAACTTTCTGTTCAATGCACGCATTCTCGTTGAGTTTCTTGACACTCAACACTCAAGCTTGGATCTCATTCTTCTTTTACCGATCAAGATCTACAATTCGAACGTGGCTTCTTCAAGTTATAAAGCTCCTTCAACATAACAAGTAAGACTCTTTTAAGGTAAGTTACTTCCTCTTTCATTCTTATCAAGCTTCTCTATTCAAGCTTCTTTGTTCTTTTCATGATTCTTCTCTATTTTGGCTTCTTTATTTAAGGCTTCTTCATTCTTATCAAGTCTCCTTTCTTATTTGCTATTGACAAGTTTGTTTTACTTTCAAGGCCCTTTACCTTTTCATCAATCACTCATTCAACATCTTCCTTTCAGCTATTCTTTCTTTTCCTTTTTAATGTTTTTCATCATCTTTCTTTCAAGTATATTTATTTTCATCTTTTACCTTCTCCTTTAAAGCCTTTACATTCTAAATCAATCTCTACTTCAAGAGTTTCTTTATCAAACCAACTTTATCTTACTTCAATCTTAACTCTTTCTTCTCTGTGTTTTCTTTCTTTCTACTTGTCATTTACCCTTCCTCATCCTTTACTTCAATCTCAAGATGGTATCGGTTGTTCATTTTGTTGCTCTATCCGTGCGCAATTTCTGAAGCCCTTTTTGCTATTAGTGACTTTCTTGCACTTGGTCTTGTACCCCTTTTGTGGGATCCTCCCCTTGTGTTTTTCCTTTTCCGCTTTCTTCTCTCTGTGTATGTGCGTGTGTATGCTTGCCTTGTTTGTCTATTTCCCCCTTTTTATGTGTGTGAAATTGCTTTGTTACTTTTCAGGAAAGTTATTTCAACATGGTTGAAAAGGATTCAAGTGTTCCAACGGGATCAACTTCATCTGCTGTCACCATCAACTCTTCAAATGAAGCAGCACCTCATACGATCAATGCACCATCTCCATCTATTTCACCATCTACCATCCACTTTTACCTCCTCCTTAGTTCCAAAATTAGAACTTCCGCGTTTCGTTCTTCAACAAGCTGCCACCCTTCTTGATTTGTGGGGCATCTACACCGGGCAAGTTGTTCCGCCTTCAACTACTGCACCTGCTCAAGAACAAAGCAACTGGATCAAGATACCTACTCTCAACCCCTCCTCCTCGTATCATCTCAAAAGGACAGTACTAGAGCTGCTTGGGACCGACTCAAACGTCTTCATCAACCTGTTTCCCAAGGCTCTAGGGCAGAAGTTTGGAACAAGGTCGTATCTTTTCGCATGGGAGATAGAGAATCCATCCCCGACTACTTACAACGTGGCGAGATGGTTCTTTACGAAGCTACACTTCTCGACCTTGAAGTACCTGAGTCCCTCTTCATCACCATTCTTCTGGCTGGACTCTCATCTACTTGGAGCATAATAAGGAGCAAAATCCAATCGTTTCCTGAAGAGACAAGGACCAGAGACTTCATCTTCAGCACACTCGTCACTGAGCACCAGACAAGAGAGCTTGCAAAGCTTCAAAGGGACCCTGGACCGGCATGGAGTGGAATGACAAACTCCAACTATCGTCCTCAATAAGGACTTCAACAACAGAGTAAGTTCGAGCAGAGTAAGTCTCTCCCTACCTAAGCACACTCCGTTTTCGGGCAACCCACATCCAACCACATTTCCCAGCTTGCATCATACTCCAATCAAATTCCTTACAAGCCAAGCTTACAATATCACTTTGAGTGTCATTATTGTCACAAATGGGGTCATCCTTGGTACAAATGCAACATACGTCCTGCAAACTGGACACCACCTTCATCTCTGCTTTCTGATAAAGGAAAGGCTGCCCTTGCAATCACATCCCATACCCCTCCAGGATATCATCCAGACAATATGTATCATGGAACATCTTTTCATCTTTTCTGAACAATATGTATACTTGTACTCATGTTCTTGCTGCTCAATGCAACCCATTCTCGTTCTCTATTTTGACATGGTTTCAGAGCAGGTCCTGTTCCAGGACCGTTTTTTAGGGCCCACCGAATAGTTCCCTGCCCGTAGCGTGTTACCCTGCTCGTAGCGCCCTACCCTGCCCGTCGCGCTGCCCCACCAGTCACGCCACCCTGCCCTGCCAGTCGCGCCACCCTGCTGGCTGTGCGCTGCCCTACTGCCCTGCGTTGCGCCCCCCCTCGCACGCCCTGCCCTGCGTCGCGCTGCCCGCGCACGCCCTGCCCTGCGTCGCGCCGCCCGCGTCCGCCCTGCCCTGCCTTGCGTTGCGCCGCCCCGCGCACATCCTGCCTTACGTCGCGCCACCCGCGAACGCCCTGCCCTGCCCTGCGTCGCGCCGCCCCGCGCACGCCCTATCCTGCGTCGCGCTCCTTGCGCACGCCCTGCCCGGCCTTGTGTCGCGCCGCCCCGCGCACGCCCTGCCCTGCGTCGCGCTGCCGACGCACGCCCTGCCCTGCCCTGCGTCGCGCCGCCCCGCGCACGCCCTGCCTTGCGTCGCGCCGCTAGCGCATGCCCTGCCCTGCCCGTCGCGACGCCCTGCTGGCCGCGCGCCGCCCTGCCCTGCCCGTCGCGTCACCCTAGGGCCCGCGCGCTGCCCCTGCCCGGCCCGTCGCGCCGCCCCAGTGCCCATCGCGCCGCTCTGCCCTTGTCGCGTGCTTCCCTAGTGCCTGCGCGCCGCCCTGCCTTACCTGCGCGCCGCCCTGCTGGCTGTCGCGCCGCCCTGCTGGCTGTCGCGTCGCCCTGCTGGCTGTCGCGCCGCACTGCTCTGCCAACTGTGGCTTCTCTCAGTATTCTCACCTTCGATTCTGAGGGCCGTCCGATCCAGTTTGAGACCTGGCTAGACGACTTACAGCTGTACCTACAGAGCGAGTCTAGGGACGGCGTCTCCTTGTTTGACCACACGTCTGGGGTCTCTTTCGCTCCTCCCGAGACTACTGACAGTGCGACTCGCTCACAGTGGCTTACCCGTGACGCTGCTGCTCGCCTAGCCGTTCGCAACCACCTGCCGTTAGCCGAACGCGCGCACTTTGGCCAGCACAAGACTGCTAAAGCACTGTGTAACGCTGTAGTCGCTCTTTTCTCCTCCCCTGCCACTGCTGCTCTAGGCCGACTCATACTGCCCTACCTCTTTCCCGAGCTGTCAGACTTTCACACAGTCGACGACCTCATCACCCACCTTCGCACTAGCGACACTCGCTACTGCGCCGCGCTTTAAGCCGAGTTTCTAGACAAGACCCCCCCCCCCCCCCCACCCCCATGTACATCACTCTCTACTTCATCGTCACCCGCCTCCCTGACTCTCTTCGCGCAGTCAGGGACCACTTTCTCGCCCTTGACCCCACAGACCTCACTGTCGACCTGCTCGAGAAGCATCTCCTTGCAGCTGAGACTAGCATAGTCGCTGTAGGTGCTTCTCGTGGCACTCCTCGCACTCCCTTCTTTGAGGGGTGTTCCCCCTCCCCCCTTGCCCCCTCTGTCGCTTCTGCTGCTGCAGTTGACTTTCTTCGTGCTGAGGAGGTCAGGGCTGTGTCTGCTCCTAGTGGAAGGCGCTGCGGCGGCAAGGGCAAGGGAGGCAAGGGTGGTGGGGGTGGCGGCGGTGGAGGTGGTGGTGTCGGCGGTGGAGGTGGTGGTGGTGGCGGTGGGGGTGGCGGTGGGAGTGGTGGTGGGGGTGGAGGCTTCAGTGGCGGCGGTGGTGGTAGCGGTGGGAGTGGTGGCGGCGGTGGTGGCAGCAGTGGGAGTGGTGGCGGCGGCAGTGGTGGCGGTCGGGGTGGAGCGGTCCAGAGGGGAGGTTCTGGCGGTGGCCAGAGGCAGCAGCAGCAGCGTCCGCGTGAGACCCTTACGCCCCAGCAGCTTCGTGAGTTGTTTCCTCAGCGTGGGGCGTCTAGGGGTAGTGTTCGCTGCCAGTACGTCATTCACACAGGCGATCGGGCTAGTCAGATATGTGGGAAGGTTGGTCACACACAGTACCGCTGCTTCTCCCGTCTTGACGACGCCTGGCGCGCAGAGTTTGGCAACGAGGCTGAGATCCCCCGCTGGCTAGATCTACTTAGGAACAATGTGGATATATTTGCTCTTGACTATGACGCTATCCTTGCTGGCATGTATGCTTTGACTGTTAGTGCTGAGGGTGACTGTTACCTGTGTGTGCCGCCCGACCCAGGTATAGAGGCTGCTGCTCTAGGTGCTAGTGCGTCAAATATCTCTGGTACTGCGCCTGCTGAGGCCTTGCACACCTTCACGCTTGACTCAGGTGCTTCCCGCTGCTTCTTTCGCGACAGTACCACAGTCACACCACTCCCTGCACCTATTGCAGTATCCCTGGCTGACCCCTCAGGGGGCCCGGTTCTTGCACGTTCCTCCACTGTTCTCCCGTTCCCGGCGGTTCCGTCTAGCTCATTGTCAAGTCTTCACCTCCCCTCGTTCTCTACGAACTTGGTGAGTACTACTGCCCTCCACGATGAGATGGTCACTACCACCACTCCTGGGGGTCAGCGTGTGTTGATCTTCACGTGTGCACACATGGGCTATTACCTGGCCACGTTCACCCGTCAGCCTGGGTCGAGTCTGTACACACTGACTACTGAGCCTACTCAGGTGGCTGCGTCTGGTCAGGTGTCCGCGTCAGGTCAGGTAGCAGCCCCCTGTTCGTGTCGCCTCCTCACGCACCAGACTCTCCTTTGGCACCACCGCCTTGGTCACCCCTCCCTGCCACGCCTCCGTGGCATGCACTCCCGCCTCCTTGTCTCCGGTCTTCCCAGGTCTCCTCCCCTCCCGCCCTCGACTACGCCACCCTGCCTTCCTTGCGTCAAGGGGCGGCAGCGCGCCGCTCCTCACTCCTCGTTTCCCCCGACGACTGCTCCCCTGCAGACTCTCCATATGGACGTGTGGGGCCCAGCCCGCGTAAATGGAAAGGACCGCGAGCGATACTTTCTGCTGGTTGTTGACGACTACTCACGCTACACCACGGTCTTCCCCTTGTGTAGTAAGGGGGAGGTCCCTGATGTCTTGATCCCTTGGATCCGCGCTGTCCGTCTCCAGCTCCGCGAGCGGTTCCACCAGGACCTTCCTGTCGTGCGTCTGCACCCAGACAGAGGTGGTGAATTCTCCTCCCACCTTCTGCGGGACTTTTGTCGTGGGGAGGGCATCCTCCAGTCGTTCACGGTTCCGACCTCCCCGCAGAAAAATGGGATTGCTGAGCGTCGCATTGGCTTAGTCATGGAGGTGGCTCGTACCTCCATGATCCATGCGGCTGCTCCCCGTCTTCTGTGGCCGTTTGCTGTCCGGTACGCTGCGCATCAGCTCAACCTCTGGCCTCGTGTCTCCTTGCCGGAGACCTCGCCTACACTGCGTTGGACGGGGGAGGTTGGCGATGCGTCGGTGTTCCGGGTCTGGGGCTCTCGTGCCTTTGTCCGCGATACCACCGCGGACAAGCTCTCCGCTCGTGCCATTCCCTGCGTCTTCCTTGGCTTTCCCACTGACGCGCCTGGCTGGCAGTTTTACCACCCCACCTCGCCCCATGTTCTGTCCTCTGAGGATGTCACGTTTGACGAGTCGGTTCCCTTTTACCATCTCTTCCCCTACCGCACTGCCCCGCTCCCCCCCCCGCCTCTCTTCCTCGCTCCAGGTCCCCCTCCGGTAGACCCCCTTCCCCCTCAGGGTCCTGCTCCTTCAGGTGTGTCTCAGGTAGACCCACTCCCCTTGGCTGAGCCTCTTGAGGTCACTTCTGACACCTCTGGCCCAGCTGAGGGGGGTGACGTTGCTGCTGACGACGCGGCGGCCCCCCGCCGCTCACCACGCTTGGAGACCCCTCCGGGTTTTCCACCTCGACCGTCTTCGCCGCCTCTGCAGCCGGTTGCTGTCGACTCTGGTGCTGCTGGGGGTGGTGCTGCTAGGGGTGCTGAGTCTAGGGGTGCTGAGCCTGAGCGTGCGGAGCCTGAGGGTGCTGGGTCTGGGGGTGCGGAGCCTGGGGGTGCTGAGCCTAGGGGTGCCGAGCCTGCGGGTACTGAGTCTGGGGGTGCGGAGCCTGGGGGTGCTGCGCCTAGGGTTACTGCGTCTGCTGTAGGTCCTACGGGAGCCTCACCGCAGCGGTCTAGCTAGCGGGAGCCTCTCTCACCAAAGCAGCTGCGCGAGTGGTTTTCTTGACGCACCTACCTTCGGAGTGGCGCTGCTGGAGCTGGAGGCACTGTCGCTGGAGGCGCTAGCGCTGGAGGCACTGCCGCTAGAGACGCTGGCGCTGGAGGCACTGACGCTTGAGACGCTGGAGCTGGAGGCGCTGGAGCTGGAGACCCTGGAGCTGGAGGCGCTGGTGCTAGAGGCCCTTGAGCTGGAGGTGCTGGCGCTGGAGGCTCTGGAGCTGGCGGTACTGGTGTTGGAGGTACTGTGCAGTAGCGACAATTTTTCTTACCGCCTCCGCAGACGTCACTACTACCGCCTGCCTCGGTGCTCCGTCAGGTACTTAGTCTTCCTTTGTCCACTACCCGTCCTTCGCCTGACCTATGACAGGCGCCGATAAAGCCAGACTCACCGCGGCCTACCCCCCCTCTTTACACCGAGTAGCCAGCCTCCCTTACAGAGCGTCGTGAGCCTGCGTCTCGTCCTGTCACGCCTGCTCGTACTGGTCGTCGTGTCCCTTGTCCTCGTCCTCCCTCTGTGCCTGGTAGACACACACTATGGCATTTCGTCCTTCCTCTGTTCCACTACGAGTTTCCCTGCCATCTCCTCTAACGTCCTCTCTTCCTCACATTCCGGACCCTGAGTTTGACTTTGTTCGTGCTGCCAGCCCTACTGTCACGCGTCTCCTAGCCACTGTTGTCACTGACCCTTCTTTTGAGTCTACTGCTGCTGCTGCGTGTCGTCTAGACTACGCCGCTAGTCTTGTTGTTGAGTCTGAGTCTGTCTGTCCTCCGTCTGTCGGGGGTGAGTGTGCTCTTGGCACGGACGTCCTTGAGGACAGGCAGGAGGACTTTGAGTGTCTTGCAGCTGCTGTACCTCATCTCGTGGCCATGCTGCTTGCACCTGAGGGAGACCCGGATGCACTGGACATCCTGACCCCGCGCTCTTACGCAGAGGCGATTACGGGTCCCTACTCCTCTCAGTGGCAGACAGCCATGGACGCAGAGATGGCATCCTGGAAGTCCACAGGCACTTACGTCAACGTAGTTCCCCCTCTTAGACGGGGCGAACATCGTCGACGGCATGTGGATTTTCAGGGTGAAGCGGCCGCCGGGTTCTCTGCCTGTCTTCAAGGCTCGGTTCATTGCACAGGGAGTTGACTTCTTCCAGACCTTCTCCCCTACTCCGAAGATGACCACTCTTCATGTGTTGCTGCACGTTGCCGCTCATCGTGACTACGAGCTTCACTCTCGTGACTTCTGCACAACTTTCTTTCAGGGCAACCTGCACGATGAGATTTGGCAGCGCCCTCCTCCTGGCTTCACTGGGTCATTTCCTCCTGGTACCCAGTGGAGCCTCCGACGGCCAGTCTACGGTCTCCGCCAGGCGCCTCGTGAGTGGCACGACACACTGAGGACGACACTTGCGGCTCTTGGGTTTGCTCCTTCCACTGCTGACCCGTCGTTGTTTCTGCGCACCGACACTTCGCTGGAGCCATTCTACATCCTCATGTATGTCGACGGCTTGGATTTTGCCACTGCTGACTCTCAGGGACTTGCCCTTGTGAAGTCGGAGCTGCAGATGAGACACACGTGCACTGATCTGGGTGAGCTGCGCAGCTACCTTGGCTTGCAGATCACCCGAGACAGAGCACGGCGCACCATCACCCTGACTCAGTCACACATGGTGCACCAGGTCCTTCAGCGCTTCGGCTTCCGGTTCTCCTCGCCACAGTCCACTCCTCTGCCTACTGGTCACTCGCTCTCAGCTCCACCTTCGGACGAGTCCGTAGAGCCAAGTGGCCCGTATCTAGAGCTTGTGGGCTGCCTCATGTACCTGATGACCTGCACTCGACCTGACCTTGCGTACCCTCTTAGCATCCTGGCACGCTACGTTGCGCCTGGGAGACACCGACCAGAGCACTGGGAGGCCGCTAAGAGGGTGATGCGCTACTTGTGCAGTACATCGGGCATGGGGCTCGTGCTTGGAGGACGGAGTTCAGTTGTCCTCACTGGACACTCAGACGCTTCTTGTGTTGACGATCTGGCTACGCAGTGGTCGTTACAGGGTTACACTTTCAGCCTTGGCTCCGGCCTTGTTTCTTGGCAGTCTACCCGCTCGTCTTCTGTTCTTAGCTCCAGTTGTGAAACTGAAATCTACGCAGGAGCCATGGCTGCACAGGAGTTACGCTAGCTCACCTACCTGCTGACCGACTTGGGAGAGCGGCCTCGTTCTCCTCCAGTTCTGTACGTAGACAACAAGGCCGCGATTGCCTTGTGTCAGGAGCACAGACTGGAGCACAGAACGAATCACATCGCTCAGCAATTCTTCCTTGCTCGAGAGTTGCAGCAGCGTGGTCAGCTTCGTCTTGCTCACATGGCCACTCGGGCCAACACTGCTGATATCTTCACCAAGGCACTTCCGTCTGGTGATCATCAGCGTTTCTGTACTGCTCTAGGCCTTGTGCCTTGTACTGTGATCCATATATATATGTACCTGCATGCTTACACTTGCTAGGTTGTAGTCACTGTACTTTTTTTTCTCTTTTTTATAACTCTGCATGTGAACTGGCCTTGTGGCCATTTGCTTGTGCTCGGACTGTGTGGTGACTTCGTGATCCACCCTGAGCTTGCTTTGATTTTTTTGACTGGTCATGTGACCACCTGTTCTCCCCCACTTTGCCTATGGGGGTGTGTCAAACATATAATGCTTATGTTGTGTAGGCTGTAGTGGGGTAGCCCATAAGGGGTACAACCCAATCTAGGGTTAGTACTTATACCCATGTTGTTCTCAATGCAATCCATTCTCGTTCTCTATTTTCACAAGGCGCCTCCTCAAGCCACCACATCGCAGACGCCATCCGCTTCACATGAGAGAGACTCCACTCAATCAAATACACCGAGTTTCGCTTTTGCATCATCCTCTTGTCTCCATGCCTTCACACATGACCCCAAGCTTTGGTTTCTTGATAGTGGATGTGATCAACAGATTACCCCTCATGCTTCCCTCCTTTACAGCCTTAAGCCCTCCAATGTGAAAGAAGTGGTGGTTGCCAGCAACCATTCGGTGCCAGTTCAAGCAGAGGGTACAATGACATTCCTCAGTCCGGAAGGAATCCATATGTCGTTCTCAGGCATCTTGCTCGTTCCCTCACTAGGAGCAAACCTTCTCTCAATTGGTCAAATCGAAGAGAAAGGTATCTTTATTTCTTTCTCATATGGTTCTGTGCAGGTTTGTGCTCCAAGTGGGCATCATATTGCAAGAGGTGTTCGTAATGGACGCCTCTATCGAGTGGAGATTGATGCACAACCACCTGTCAAGCCCCATAGCAGCCCCTCAGTTGCTGCTACCACCTCGGTAAGACTTCACCCTGGTACATCTGCATCTCTTTGCACTTGGCATTATCGTTTCGGTCATCCTGAAGAGTCTAGTATTACATGCATCCAGGCGCATGCAAGTGTTGATGGTCTCATCATTTCCAAGCAATTGTCATCTTCTTTGTCGTCGTGCCATACTTGTGTTGAGGCTAAGCTTCCTCGTCATCCTTTCTATTCTTCTAAGTCTGAAGTCTCTCAACCACTTGAGCTCATTCATAGTGACCTGATGGGTCCTTCCCGTACACCGAGCCGTACTGGGAAAAGGTATGTAATGTCACTTATTGATCATCATACAAAATTTGCTTGAATCTCTCTTCTTGGATCCAAAGATGAAGCTCCTAGTGTTATCCAGTCCTGGTTCCCTTATGTTGAGTGTCAGATGGGTCTCAAGGTCAAGTTCTTTCGTTCTGATCGTGGAGGAGAGTACATATCTAACTCATTCCGCTCTTTTCTTGCCAACCTAGGAGTTGAGCAGCAATCATCATGCCCAGCAACACCTCAACAAAATGCTACTGCTGAGGGGTACAACCGTACGATTCAAGAGATCTCAAGAGGTTTTCTTTCCCACATGAATTTGGATGACTCATGGTGGGGAGAAGCTATTATCAATGCTGCTTGGGTCACGAATCGTCGGTTGACAAGCTCCCTTGCTGGGGGTGTCACACCCTATGAGGCATTATACGGCATAAAGCCAAATGTGTCCATGCTTCGAGTTTTTACCTGTATGGGTCAGTACAAGGTGCTGGATGATAAACGCAGTAAGTTTAAAAGCAAGGCAGCATGAGGCATGCATCTAGGCATGGCCAAGGAGAGTAAGGGTTGTTGATGTGGGATCCTCTCCAAAAAGGGATGTTGTGTCAAGAGACGTGATCTTCTATGAAGACATGTCCCCGTCTTCTTGGAAAACTTCTTTCCCTCTTGTGTCCTCTCAAGTTCCTCCCTTTTCAACCTTTGCAAATTTCGAACTTCCAACAGTCATTCAAAGTAGAGTTCCTACATCATCTCCGAAGCAGCAACACGAAGATACGTCTCAAAATCAAGGCCAACAACCATCGCCATTATCTTCTGCCCCCACCCCTCATTAACAAGAGCAACCGCAGTAGCAACCGTCACTGCCTCCATCACACCAACAACCATCTCCACCCGATTTACCTCCTCCTCTTCAATCCTCTCATACTCTCCAGCAGCAACAGCAGCATCCTCTCAACACTCACACTCTTCAACCTTTCCTCACACCTCTCGTCGTTCATCGGCCTAGCGGCTATCGTCCAACAGCCCTTCTTCACCTTTCGGATCATCGTCAACTCATACCGTCAACCGTGCAGCTTCCACCAACACAACTGCACACATCTTCTCATATCCAGCATTCGACAATTCCAACTGCTACAGCAGCTCCATCAGAAGTTCATTCTCAACCAGCAGCACCGCCAAATCCACCAAACCGGATTGATATCAATTATCCACCAGACGTGAGCACGTCGTCCTCTGCGGCACCACCAACATTTTCTACTTCATCGTCTACGCAATACACCACTCATGTACCATACTCCAACCTCAGCTCACCCCCAAGTCATCTATGTAGCGGCCGCACCTGCTTCCAATGCAGGATCCATGCCACCTGTTTCGCCATCGCCTCTCAGTCGCAAAGAAGCTATGACAGGAGCATTTAAGGTGCAGTGGTTAGCAGCAGAAAGGGCATAACTGGAAAGTTTACTCGACAGGGGAACTTGGACTTTGGAGCAATTACCCAAAGGAAATAAGCTCGTGGGAGTAAAATGGGTCTACTGGGTGAAAGTGAAAGATGATGGATCCATGGACAAGTTCAAGGCTCGTTTAGTCGCCAAGTACACCAGTGTACGTGCTCTTCTTGGCATGGCAGTACGGATGGATCTCTACATCATTCAGCTGGACGTCTCCAACGCTTTCCTTTACGGCATTTTAGAGGAGGAAATCTACATGGCTCAACCTGATGGGTATCACGATGGCACTGAGAGAGTCTACATACTGCACAGTCTCTGTATGGCTTGAAGCAAGCTCCACGAGTTTGGTATCACGCATTGAAGTCCGCCTTGCTGGCACAAGGTTTCACACAGTCTGAGTATGACCCTGCACTCTACATTCTGCATACGGAAGTGCATGAGGTACTCTGGCTTATCGTGTATGTAGATGACATCCTCATGGTGTCAGGTTCTCTCTCCCTCCTTACCCACATCAAAGGTATGCTCACCAAGGAGTTTTTCATGACAGACATGGGTGAGCCATCATATTACCTTGGCATGATTATTATTCACGACCGTCCCTCTCACTTTCTCTTTCTTTCTCAAGGGCGATACATTCACAACGTCCTCTCTCGCTTCGGCCTTCTCACCTGCAATCCTGCATCTACACCTCTCCCTTCTAATTTTCAGCATTCTTCACCTTCTATTTCTGACCTTCAGTCCTCTCAGTCTGAACCCCTTTCTGACTGGGACGAGTTTCACGAGGCTCTTGCGCCTTCATCCTCTTCATCCCTTTCTTCTTCCAACGCACCTCCTTCCTCACTCCTTACCAGAGCATTGTCGGTAGTCTCATGTACGCATCCATCTGCACCCGGCAAGATCTCTCTCAGGTTGAGGCCATGCTTTCTCAATTCCTTTCCTCACCATCTACTCAGAACTTGAACGCTGCGAAGCGTTTCTTGCGCTATCTCTCCAGCTCTAAATCTTTTGGACTCCTCTTTCATAGACATGAGCATGGCATTGTCTTGCATGGTTTCACGGATGCGGATTGGGCAGGTCCCTTTTCCAAGTGCAAATCTACGGGAGGCTACATATTTGTGATGGCAGGAGCAGCAATTTCTTGGCAATCGAAGAAGCAAGGCTGTGTGGCATTATCTTCAATGGAGACGGAGTACATGGCTGTGACGCAAGGAGACGACTGACGGAGTTGGGTCTTCCCCAGCATGAGCCAACTGTTCTCCACATTGACAACACATCGGCGATCGCCTTGAGCAAGAACCCGGTCTATCATGGACGCACAAAGCACATCGATACGCAGTATCACTACATTCGAGAGCTGATTAAGAACAAGGTTGTTACACCGGCCTACTGCAGCACCACGGACCAGGCTGCTTACTTTCTGACTAAGATACTTCCACGGCACATCTTCGTTCTTGGCCGCCAACGTGCTGGATTGGTGCCGCTCGAATCTCTTGCGTGCTTCTCCAGTGCTGTCCCTTCCGCTCCTTCATCTCACTCTGAGGGTCAGCAATGCGGGGAGGTGTTGGAATGAACTGCTGCTGCTGCTGCTCGCGTGGCACCAGGGTGGCGGGAAAATTTTTCACGTGGCAAAAAATTTTCGCCACAGTTTCCCCGTCAGCCAAAATTCGAATCTACAAAAAGGCATCCAGCAACATTACCCATTCGCCACTTCATCATCCTTATCTCCAGTCAGCAAGGCACCATTCCATTTTCACCCAGTACAAATCCATCAATCCTCCACCTCATCTCTTCTTTAATCCTCCTCAACCTTCTCATCCCAAACTCCACCAATCAATCAAAAGATTCCCTACCAAGCCTTAAAAGCAACAGTATAAATTTGACAGCACTGTTTGAGGCTCTACAGTACGCAGGGCGATTTCGCCACAACGAAAAAAAAAAAAAAAAATGGCGAGAGGGTTAGCGAAAATCTGAAGCGGGGGTGCTAGGAGGGAACGAGGGTTGGGGGGTCACAAAATGGGAAAACCTCCCGTCATCAACTAACACGGGCCTGTGGCCCTGTTTGCCACGACCACGTGAACGCTAGGGGCGGGGGATAGGCGAGGGGATCTAGAAGGTG